GGGGTTTTTTTTTTTTTTACAATTAACCCTTCAGAAAACATTTTATTTTGTTATTTTTATGTATATTTATATGACAAAAATACTCTATATATAATTTTAAAATTTTTTAAAGTTAATTATTCGGTTCAACAATTGACCCGGTGACCCGACGGTTGAACCGGTGACTCGATTACCGGGCCGGATATAAAAACTATGGTTTAAACAACAAAATTTAGATAGATTTGCTATCACACCCTCCCCCAATCTCTCTCTGTGTTGGTATTTCCTCACTGTCACTGAATAGTTTTCTGAATAAGCTTACCTAGGGAGGTTCTCACACTCCGCCCAAGTTGTAGTTCAAGAAGAATCTATGCTGATACATGTGAATTGGAAATTAAGGGCGTGCATGACTTGGCTTTTGGGTTGAGTCTAACAAAACAAAAATCATAACTTGGCTAAGGATGTGCTTAATTTTCAGTTTCTCAAAAAGTTAGTATATGATATTGCTTCATTATATTAGGTCCAAAGTAAGACTTGTGGTATAGAAAACCGTCCATGGAAGAATAGTTGCTCATCTGCCGAAAAATGTGGATAACATAAAAATAAAGAAGCTTATATATTTTACGGTAAAGTGTCGTATTTATTAGTACAACAATTCAACCGTTTTATAAAATAGAAATGTTTCATTCCAATCTTCAGAATGTAAATCTTTCCCAAAAAAAATTAAAATACATTTAGGTAGGATTTTTTGAAATTTAAAATTCAAATATAACAAATCCCATAATTTATGGTAGCATTAAATGTGGCAGATTTTTTATAAATAAAAAATAAAACATTTGAAAAAACATTGCAAAATAGAATGCATTAATTGTCTTTTGACTTTTCTTGCTACTAATTTTAGTAAATAAGATGACTTTATATATTTATATAGATGATATTAAAATAAAATTAATACATTTAAAATGATCATAAATAAATCACCATATTTATGGTAATTCAGACCTAATTATTTTTGGATTGGAATTACATTAAAATCTGTCCAAACAAAATAATGAAGCAAGAATTTTCGACACTTAGGATCCCGAAGCATGTGATCATGCCACTTAGGCTCATCATATTCGGAAATTATATATAGGGGGGATTGAAAGCATTAATTTGTGTATCTTTTAGTTTTATCAAATTGTTTATATATAGTATGTCAAGGGAGCATTTACTTTGCGGGACAGGACAGGATATTCAAAATAGTCCTTGGATATCTTACGTTTACTTCATGGGAACGGGATAGGATATTTCTGACGTGGCGCACATGTGGAAGGCGGGGAAACTGTTTCATCCTAACTTTTCCGATTAAATTCATCCCGCCCCCCCACCTGATATAATAATCCCACACACATTATACCTATATTGCCCTCAGATTTCTCTATGAAATGACCAATATACCCCTTAATTTCCATTATTTTACAACTGCCACCCACCGTAGAAATAAAATCGAAATTTTCATTTTTTGCCGTAGTTTTTGCACAGACAAGTTGCCATTGTTGTCAAGCTTCATTTTCTCCGTCGGCCTATATGGTGAGCTCCAATTCTCCATTTTTTTTCTTCTCGGTTTCAATTTTGTCAATTTCGCGTTACATTCTTGGGCGTGCTTTGTTTTCTCCTGAGATTTCTACTCCATTAAAATTTTGTGTGGTCCGTCGCTTGCTTCGTTTTTTTTTTTTTTT